CTGCGCCCCCCCCCCTCCCCCTCCAGCAATCGCGTTCTGCAGCTGCCCTTCGGCGGACGCCGCTGCCTCGCGGCCACGCAACTCGACGACGACACACTGGTACTGCAATTCAGCGACGGCTTCTTCGACTTCCTGGCTCTGCATACATCCATGCGCGCAGCGCAGCACTTCCTCTGGCGCAACAACCCGAGCATGGCCCCGGCCGGCCCGGCCGACCGGGTCTGGGTGTGCCCATGGCTGCCTCTCTGCTGGGTGGCCTACGAGCAGGGCGCGCGCTTTGTCTTCCATGCCGCCCGGCTTCGGGACCCACACAGCAGCGACAAGGGCTCCGTCTCGGAGCCCTGGGCCTTCCTCCCGGCCCGCACGTCCTTCGCCCTGAGTGTGGCCACCTGGCCCGGGGTCGTCCCGCCGGGCGTCCAGGCCGCCGCACCCACCGCCATCGGGGTGGCCTTCCTCCGGCACATGAGCCGGCGCTTCTGTGCCATCCTGTACGCCGCCCTGAAGTTTGCCCCCCCCCCCCCCCCCCACCCCCCCCCACACACGCCACCTCGTGTATTCGAGCATGCCCGCTTTAACTAACCCCGCCTGCCTGCTGCCCGGTGCCCCGCTGCCAGCCACGGCCAACGCGTGGCCCTCATCCCGGAGGAAGACATCATCCGGCTGTTCATCGACTCGGCCAGCCCGGAAGTCCTGTCCCGACCGCTGATCTGCATCTCCCAGGACATCGAAATGCCGGTCTCCAGCGACATCCTCACCCTCGGCCATGAACTCCAATCGGCCACCGCACACCCGACCGTGGTCCTCCGCAGCGATGCCCACTGGAGGACAGTCCTCCTGGCCAAGACCTTCCCAGACACGGGGGATGCCTGCCTCCGGTCCCAGATCCGGGTGGAGCTGTGGCCCCCACCGGAGAGCCTCACCTTGAACTAGAGCCGAAGTTGGAGCGCGCGCGTGCACGTGTGTCAGGTAGAGGCGGGCCGCCTCCTCCGCAGGCGCCCCGCGCATTCGGCAGCCACTACACCCGTTTTTTTCCCGGCCTACCTCCCGGGTGATTGCTTGAGAGAGTGTGTGGGCTTTTTTTTTTCCGTCCCCCCAGGCGCCGTGCTGCCACCTGGCGGAGGCATGCGCGGCTTCCTCTCCTGTTGTTTTTTTTGCCCGCTTCCATGCCAGAATGGGAGAGCGACAGAGGGGAACCGGAGGGGGGGAGGGGGGGGGGGGCACAGGACCGGCATCAGCACAGGTGTGACGTGTACCCGGCCGCAGACCCATCCTCCGAGACCATCGACACATGGCCGCACACCAACAGCAGCAAGCCAACCACCACCAGCGCCATTGCCATGCTCTCATGGTTCGGTCGACGTGGGCCGGGGCCCGGCCGGCATCTCAACATGCGGCCGGCCGTCCATGTTTCTTTGGGGGAAGAGCACCGGCCGAGCATTGGGCGGCGGGGCCCCGGCACGCGACAAACGCGCAGGTGGAACATGGGCCCGCCCTCGGCCAAGACCTCGGGTCGCGCGGAGATGCCAACCTTTGGCCATCGAGTCGCCACGCCCCGGGACCCCCACACGCTGTGATCTCCGCCGATCTTTTCCACACACACACGCACAACAACCCTATAATTGCCCATGCAATGGGCCAGGGGCCTTGGGCAGGCGTGCGCCCCTCGGCCGCGGGCGGCGGCGTGCCATGCCCCACAGCCCACCGACATGGGGTCTGCCTCTGTCCTGCATTCCCCCTCCTCCCGCTCGCCTGTTTGATCATTTCCACGGTGCCGCGCCCTGCCGCGCCCCCTGCTCCAAGAGGATGGAACTGGGGCATTTCGATCATCCAAACACACGGATCCACACGAGCAACAGACGAAGCCACACCCCCACACCGTGCCATCCCATGCGGGTGTCTGTCGCCGGCGACGGGGTGCCCAGAGCGGGCATCCCCGGCTCCGGGTGTCCCGAGAGGCAGGGGCCGTCCAGAGCACTCGGGCCAGGCTTAGATCCCGAAGGGTCGTCGTGCTCGCCGGCAAAATCGCCCTCCATTGCCCGAGCTGCCTGATGCCGACAGCAGGCCCCGACCGATGATCATGGACCCTTGCCACCGCGGGCATGACCAGGAAGGATGCCAGCGCATGGGCAGTCAAGGCATCGCGCGGCACAGCCAAGAGCCAGGCCCCGGTCGGCAACACGAGGATCGGCCGGATTGTGCGGCCGCACTGCCGGACAAGCATGGTCACCAAGAGGACCACACCGAACAAGTGGCCATACTTGCCGACCCCCGGGCGAACCCCCCAATTGAACAGGCCCCGGGCGAGTGGCAGCAGAGGAGGTCACCGAAGTCGATCGCACGGCCCCGCGATCAAAGTGGTGGCCCTTTTCCCGGAGAGCCCTCCTGCTCGCCTGGGGGGGGGGGGGGGACTCCCCCATACCATGCACTTCCGGGGCCGGAAGGCGACACCCGGCGACCGGAGCCACGAACCGAAGCCAGCCCCTTCGCCATGAGGCTGACTCGCTAGATGGTGCGATCCCGGGGCGGCTCGGCAGCCCGCCCGAAAAGGGCTGCTCCATTGCCGGTGCTGCTGGCCCGGCCAGGAAACCGGCCTGCCGGCTGCGGGAGAGCGTGCCCCCGGGATTCGGCCGTGAAGCTCGCCTGCTGCCTAGCGCACGTGGATGCCCCTCCGCTTGGTGGGTCTCGATCAAGGCATTGCTCCCGCGGTCCCGGGGCTGGCCATTCGCCGGCATTAACACTCGAAGGCCGAGTTCCCGGGAAAAAAAAAAGGCCCCCACCGGACCTCCGGCAGGTCGCTCGGCAGCTGGCTCTGCGTCCGGGCCTGAATGTACGTCGGGTCGATCATTTCACAGACAAGGGAGGGAAGCCCGGCCGGCGTGCAGAAACCCGAGGCCCGGTTGCCGGGAAGCAGGCCCGTTGGAGCCGAATGCAGAGAGAGGTCCATCCGGCGCGAGGGTCCGAGCAGCAGTCCCAGCAGCATGACCAAAAGCAAGGGCAGCAGCAGGCGGGGGCGACGGTCGAGCCGGCCGCTGCCGGACCCGGGACCACCGCAGGGCGCGCGAGGCGTCCATGTCTCCGAGGTGGGAGGGAGCTGAAGGCGGGGGTTGGAGGGGGGGGGAGCCGGCGCCAAGAGGCAGAGGGACGGAGGCCCCTGCAGTGGGCTGTTTTTCTTCTCCTTTTTTCCTCCTTCCCATTTGTCTCGCCCACCCATCCTTCGCTAGCGGGCCGAACCGGGCCCGGGGGGGGGGGGGGGGGGGGAGGACCGGGAAGGATATCCGGCCTCAGTGCCATCCACAATGCCGGTTGGGGGCCAGGCACGCGTGATGGGCCCGCCAAGTGGGTGCACGTACGACGTACCAGCTCCAGCGCCTGTTCCCACCCGTCGGGGACAATGCGTGTCTGGCAGAGGCACCCAGGGGTGCCGTTCCCCCCTGGCCTTGCGCTTGTGACCCACGCGAAACTTATTCACTTCCCCCGCAGGTTCCCGCACCCGGTCCCGGGTTGCCGTTGTTGTTGTTACTCATCGACAAGAGGCGACATGGCACTTGGCGATCCATCCACAGGGCCCAGGGCTAAGCGTCAGGAATGAGGGGGCCAGCGCCTGACACGGCCGAGGGTGGCATCTCGGATTCATTCCTCCGCTCCTAATGGCGGTGGCATCCACCAACGGATCATGGGATCCCGCTAAGTTAAGGGACGATGAGTGCGCGTTTCATCGGGGCGCCTTCCGTTAGCATGGAGAGATACCACCGCACATCGCCGGGCCTCGCCTGCCCCAGCAGGGAGGGAGAACATCCCGCGAGGCAGGGGACGGTCCCCCCCCGCCCCCCGCCCCCGGCCCCCCCCCCCCCCCCCCCTGGCGCCCTTCCTTGTGGCGGGGGGAAAAAGCGGCCACAGAAGGGTGAAGGAAAAATAGCGCCCCAGCTCCATCCATGCGAGTCTGCATGCAGGCTGCACCCACGGCCCAGACATGCCCGAATGCCGAGGACAATGTGCTCTCGTTTTCGCGGTCGGACGCGCATGCGCCGGCCGTGGCCGCCGAGTGAGAGCAGCTACCAGCGCTCATGCATTGCTTCTCCCCTCCGCGAGGAAGGCGCACACGCACCAACCGCAGGATCGCTCGCCGCCCCCCGGTTGGCCACCGGCCGGCCAGGTATGGGGCAGGCATTCTGGGGCACCCTCCCCTGTCCGTCCTCCCGCCGGTGCTCCTCCTCCACCACTCGCCCGCCAAATGCCGGTGGATGTTGATGCCTAGCAGCCCGGCAAAGTGGCTCCCGTGGCCGGCTGGGACTTGCCTGTAGGTGCGATCTCTCGCGCGGGCCAGGGCCCCGGAGGCGCCATACGAGGAGGCCTCGCCATTTGTGGCCGGAACGAGAATCCATCCAACCAAGCATGCTGCCCATGGGACCATACTCCATGTGGGCCACCCCTCGCGCCGGGGACGGCCTGGCCGTTCCGCCAGGGTGCCTCACCTTTTAGGAACCCGCCTCGGAGACAGCACCGCGCAGGACACCACCACACAGGAGGCCTCCCCGTGGCAGGGGTGCCTGTGTGCTGCGCCATCGGATCCCACCCACCAGTCTGCCCGGCTCTGGGCGCGGTGGCACAAAGGTGCGATGAGCCCCTCACCGAGCCGGCTCCCGGGCCAAAAAAAAGCACTCCCTGTGGGAATTCACAGGCAACTCCAAATCCATGAGGCCGACAGGTACTGCGTCCTCCGAGGAGGGGTGGCGTTCTATTTGGTCCTTCCATGGATGCCGCACACCGGCCCACACACCGGCCCACACACCGGCCCACACTTTGCGAGCCGGCTGCAATGCCACAAAATGCAAGCTCGCGCCGTGATGTGTGACGTGTCGCCGGTCAGAAATCGCCCAAGCCGCCGGAGGCCACAAACAGGGCCATGCACCGCTGGCGGAAGGTGGCCGCCGAGGGCCGCCGCCCGGGGTCCTCCTGCCAGGCAGCCTGCACCAGGTCCGTGGCACTGGCGGCCATGGTGCCGGCGCCCGGCCGAGCGCCGCCAATCACAGCGGCCATGATGTCGTGGATGCCCAAGCCCGGCCAGGGAACCGCCCGAGTGAGGCACTCATGCAGCATGATCGCCGCGGCATAGATGTCCGACGGCAGGAAGCACCCCCGGTCGAGGGTGGTGCCCCGCTGGAAGGCGGTGATCACCTCCGGCGCGGCATACGGCACTGTCAAGGCATTCAACTCCGGCATGGCCAGGACCAGGGCCGACGACCGGTCGGCACTCAGGTTCCGACTCGTGCCCAGGTCCCCGAGGGCCGCCCGCCAGCAAGAGGCCGTCTGCAGGACAAACACATTCCCCGGCTTCAGGTCGCAGTGGGCGATCCCATGCGCGTGCATGGCCTCCAGCCCGGCGGCCCACTGCTGCGCGATGTCCGCCAGCTGCACCGGCGTCAGCGGCACCTCCGAGTGCAGCAACGCGCCGAGGTCGCAGTCGAAGCGCTCCATCACGATGGCCGGCGGCTGCTCGCTGTAACCAAAGAGACGCACAATGTGCCCATGCTCCCGGAGCAGCCACATCAAGGCCACCTCATTCTGGAACATGGCCACATGCAGGGGCTTCATGCTGTCGGTCTTCATGCTCTTGATGGCCACTATGCCCGGGCAGCCCAGCCGGGCGGCGACCCCGGCCCCGACCGCCTGCGCGGCGACCACACTCGCCTGCGTCCCGCAGCCGAGGGCTTCATCCAGCGGCCGGAAGTCCACGCCCACGTCGACCAAGATGGCCCCGGGCAGGGCCAGCTCCACAATGGTGTTCAGCATGGTGGCGTCCTCGCCATCGGCGGGACTCCGCTGGGGAGGCAGCTTCTTCCGCCGGCGCACCAGGAAAAGCACCAACAGTATCAGCAGAATCAGCAGCAGCAGCAAGCCCACGGCCAGGCCCACGGCCAGGCCAATGCGCGAGGCACCACGACGCGAGTCCCGCTCGCAGTCGCCCTTCTCCGGCCCGGTGCAGCCATGGGCGCAGCTCTCATGGCAGGCGCCGCAGACGCCGGGATTCCCATCCACGTCGGCAAAATACCCCCCTGGGCAGGTTTCCACGCAGGCTGTCCCACCCAGCAAGAGCCGGCCCGCCACGCACCGACTGCAGGTGGCGATCGTCGGACAGTCCAGCGTGCCAGCACCGGTGGCCGTGCACCCGGCCTGGCCGGGACCCGGGTCGCACCGCTCGCACCCGGCCAGGCAGTCCAGGCACACGCCGTCCACCGGGGCCGAGGCCCCGACACAGGCTGAGGCGCAGAGGCCCTCGGCCGGGCGCAGGAGGCCGCCCTCACAGCCCGTGCAAAAGTCCCCCGAGCCGGAGCAGGCCCGGCACCCGGGGCCACACGGCTGGCACACGCCCGAGCCCGGGGCCGCGAACTCCCCGTCCGGACAGCGGTCATGGCAGGCGCCCGCCGAGAGGACGAAGCCCTCCTCGCACTGCGTGCAGTGGGCCGCGCAGGTGGCATCGGCCGAGACGCAGGCCGCGCACCGGGCAGGGCAAGAGAGACACCGATCGGAGGCGGTGCACTGGTGCCAGCCGGTCGGACAGGACTGTACGCACAGCCCGGCCGGTCCATGGAGCCCCCACGCCCAGCAGCTGGCACATGCATCCCCACTGGCGCAGGTGGCGCAGGAGGCCTCGCACGCGGTGCAAACCCCATCCTCGGCGAAGAGACCAGCCGGGCAACCGAGCAGGCAGGCCCCGCCAAACAGGGCGCGGCCCCGGGCGCACGCGGTGCACTGGCTTGGAGCCGGCCCGGAGCAGGAGGCACACGTGTCGCTGCATGGGATGCACGACTGGCCCTGCGGGAAGGTCCCGGCCGGGCAGACGGCATGGCAGGCTCCGCCCACCAGCAACGGCGCTTCCGGCCGGCAGCCCAGGCACTGGTCGGCCATTTGGCCGAAGCACCCGTTGCAACTGCCATGACAAGCGATGAACAGGGCCCCCTGCGCCGAGGTGCCGGACGGGCAGTGGGCCACGCACGCCGGGCTGTCCAGCAGCCACCCACGCTCGCACTGGGCGCACACGGTGCTCGACGCGGGGCAGCCGACGCAGTGGCCCGGGCAGGCGGCGCACCCGCCGGCCGAAGGCCCATACGACGCCGGACAGGCGGGGACACAGCGGAACGGCGCCCGCCCGGCCGGCAGGGCCAGCAAATCCCCCATGCACATGGTGCACTCGGTGCTCCGGACCCCGACACACGCGCCGCACGACGCATGGCAGGGCAGGCACCGCCCCCCGAGAGCCACATGCCGCGCGGCGCAGTCCTGCACACAGTCGCCATCCTGCAGCACGCCACGCAGACAACGCCAGCAGTGCCTGTCACTCGGGCCGTTGCACGTGGCGCAGGCCGGGTCGCAAGGCACGCACAGGCTCGACGCCGCGTCCCGGTACTGGCCCTCCGGGCAGCCGGACACGCAGGCCCCCACCCCGGGCCCGGCCTCGATGAAGTCCAGCCCCGCCGCACACCGGGTGCACTGGTCGGCCGCCCCGCCGACACAAGCCACGCAGCTCACGTCACACGGCTGGCAGGACTCGCCGTTGGGCCAGCTGCCGGCCGGGCACGAGGAGACACACGCGCCGGCCGGCGTCAGGAACAGCGGCTGCTCGCAGGCCAGGCACCGGGTCGCCGTGCAGGACGCGCACCCCGGGTCGCAGGGCACACAGGCCCCGGCGCCCCCGGCGGCCGGCCGGCTCACCCACCGGAAGCCCGCGGCACACACCTGACACGATGTGGCCTGGCCAGTGCACAGCTCGCAGGAATGGTCGCACTCGGCGCACCGGCCGTCGCCGATGTACTCGCCCGGCAGGCAGGCGCCCCCGCACAGGGACCCGGCCTGCTCATCCGGGCCCAGGAACACCAGCCCCGGCCGACAGACCGTGCAACTGGACGCATCCCGGCACTCGGCGCACGAACCATCACAGGGCAAGCAGGAGCCCGCCAGGAGGAAGTGCCCGGCGGAGCAACTCATACACTCGGTCGCCGAGGCGCAGGAACCACATGCAGCAGGACAATCCCGACATGCACCGGCCCCAGCATCGGACCAAGTCCCCATCGGACAGGCTCCCAGGCAGGCCCGGTGATGCAGCCATGTGCCCGGACCGCACGAGGTGCAAGCTCCCGGGCCCGGGCCATCGCATGTGGCACAGCCCGAATCGCACGGGTCGCACGCCAGCCCATGCCACCCGGCCGGGCAGGGCAGCGCCAGGGAAAAGGTCACCAGCCCCGGCCCCGGGGCGAAGGCCAACAGCGTGAGCATGTGCCCTGGCTGCAGGACCGACCGCTGCCCGGAGCCGCCGGAGCCGCCGACCACCGGCAGGGGCGCCAACGACCACGGCCCGGCGCCACTGGGCAACCGCAGCCCCGGGGGCAGGTCAAAGAAAAGCCCAGCCTGCAGGGCACACGGCTCGGGCCCACCGGCCCCGGGACAGTGGAGCAATGACAGCCCGATGAACGTGTCCGCCAGGAGGACCAGCGCGCTGGGGTACTCCAAACCACCATGGGCCAGGCTCAGCCCCTGCAACAGGACACCCAGGCCCCGGGGGCCGGGCCCGGCCAATGCCCCGGGGAAAGCCCCCAGGCTCTGCCGGCCGGTGGGCACATCCACCGACCGGCCGGCCGGCCGCATGTCCCCCGGCGCCCGAAGAACCAGCCACTCGGGGCCGGAAACCCGGGAGAAGACCAACTCCGGGGGGAGGGTGCTGGCGCCGCGAGACAGGAGCACCGGCACCAGGCCCATGCCCCCCGCCGGGGGGGCATCTCCCAAGAACCGGCCATCCAGCGCCAGCTGCCGAGGATCCGCCGAGCCGGGAAGGAAATCCGGACCGGCCGTGGCCCCCGGCCCCAAGCCCGCCCATACCAGCCAATCCCCGAGGCCCGGGTCGGCCCGGGGTCCGGTGGCCTCGAGGAGGCTGACCGCGTCCAGGCCCTCGATCGAGAACCAGGCCAGATGCTTCGAAGAACCGCTGACCCAGATAATGGACAACCGCCGCGGGCCGTCGTAGACAAGGAAGCGCCTCGGGTCCAGGCGCCGGACTCCAGAGCACTGGCTGCTGGGGAGTGTGTCCAGCAGCCCGGCGCCCGTCGCCGCACACGGCCCCGGCCCGGCGCATGACAGCCAAACATGCCGGAGAACCTGGTCCTGACCACAAAGGAGCACCACATGCAGCAAGCCCCCATCGCGCTGGAGGGGCCCGACCTCGGCCACAGACACCACCGGAACCGGCAAGGCACCATCGAACAGGGAAATCGGCTCCGGGGGTGCCTTGCCCGGACGGGTGATGTCAGCGGCCGGCAGGAAGTAGGACTTCCGGTGCTCGGTGAACAGCAGCATGCCGGTCACCAGCGCCGAGTCGGCGGCCGGGAGCACCGGGCTCCCGGTTCCCGGCTCCGGGGCCAGCCGCGTCGCCCCGATGGCGGTCACTCGATCACCAGGCCCCAGCCCCGGGAGGGGCTCGCCCACCGGGACGGTCGAGTACACATCCGGCGAGGGCATGCCAGCCGGCCGGCAGACCCCGGCCAGGGGGTTGAACCCGGCCGAGCAGCTGGCCACGCACACGGCCCCCCCCCCCCTTCAGGGCGCTTGCCTCCAGGAAGAAGTCCTCCTCGCACACGAGGCAGTGCTCGGCGGTGCAAGTCCGGCAGTTGGCCTGCGGACAAATCCGGCAGGAATGCCCCGGCCGGGAAAAGGGCGCCTCCTCTGCGGGCGGAGGCGACCGGCAAAAAAAAAGTCAGCCTAAAATCGGCGAGGGGCCACCGGAGGCCATCGAACGGCAGGAAGCCGGGGACGGGGGGGGGGATGTGTGCGATCGAAATACATACCGGCCGGCTTGCTCAGGTACCAGCCACTGGCGCACCCGGCGCACAGGTGGTCCGGCGACACGAAGGGCGAGGCCGCGTGCCCAGGGGCACAGGTCCACCCGGCCGGCGCGCCGGAGGACCCCCCAGCCGCGTCGCACACGATGGTGTGGTCGTCCTGGCACCGGAAGTCGTCGGACGGGAAGAGGACCGTGCGCCCGGCCACCAGGGTCCACCGCATGGAATCCGAGGGCGACCGCTGCAGACGCACCAGCCGCAGGTCGGTCAGGTCGGTGACGGCCGGCGGCAGAACCACCCGGCGCCAAGTAAATGTGTCACCCTGGATGTGGGCCAGCCAGAGGCGGTCGGCCGGATCCGCCGACCCGGGCGTGACCAGGTACAGGGGCCCCGGAGAGTCATCCATGGCCAGGGCCGAGGGGGCCAGGAGCCGGGCTCCGTCGGCCAGCGAGCCACTCGGCAGTATGGCTGTCGACAGGCCAGCACGCTCGCTCAGGCCCTGGCAGTGGTACACAAACACCAGTTTGTTGTCCAGCAACAGGACCAGGTCCATGTGCTCGGGGCAGGTGGCCGCCGAGGACACCACCCGCGTGGCGGCCATGCTGACGATGCTGGCCGAGAGACTGGACCCGGAGGACTGCGCCCCGCCAAGCCCATCCAGGATAAGATGGACGAAGCGCCGGCCGCCGGACAGGAAGAAAGACCGCCCGGGCCCGGGGATGGCAAAGGCCGGGCCACTGACCGGGAAGAAGTTCCCGCGCACCGGCTGCAGCCCGGCCGGGCCCAGGGTCGCCAGGTAAATGGACCGCTCCGGCTCGGAGGGGGAGCCCGTCAGCCCGAGTAGGTCCACCGTGGTGGCCGACACCCCGACACCGGCCAGCAGCTCGGTGCCCGGCCCAGGGAGCCGGTGCTCTTCGGGCGAGGTGAAGATGGCCACCGCGGTGGTGGTGTGCTCCACAGCCACGATCCCCGGGCTGCCGCCCAGCGGGAGGCACATCAACTGGGCATCGGCCAGGCCCCCGGGCCGCGGGCAGGACAAACCATGGGTCAGGAGCCCGAAGAACGCCCCCCAACGGACCTCCGACGCCGCATGGAGGTCGACATTTTGCATGTGCCCCACGACCAGATCGCGGCTCGGGTGAGTGACGGCCACCGATGGCTCGCCGGGCCCGGTGACGAAGGCCGCCGGGCCCGAGGCACCCAGGGCCTCGTGGGGGGCGGCATGCAGGAAGACATCCTGCCCGCGCGCCAGGCCAAGCAGTGCCAGCAGTAGCAGCGGCAGCAGCGGCAGCAGCGCTGGCAGCGGTGAAGACAGCGGCGCCAGGGCCCGCAGTCGGCGGCCCGTGTGCTGCGCCACCATTACCGGCGGACAGGCCAGGCGGGGGAGGGGGAGGGGGCGAAGAAAGGAGGGCGAGGAGAGGGCGCGCGCGCGTACACGAAAGAAAGAGAGAGAAAGAGAGAGAGAGAGAGAGAGAGAGAGAGAGAGAGAGAGGAGGAGCAAGGGGACTGGGGGAGTAGGGAGGCAACAAGGGCGAAGTGCTAGCCTGAGCGGGGCCGCCCCCGGGCTTTTTTTTTTTTTCTTGCTCCCGATCTGCGCCTGTCTCACGTACCACGAGCTTGGAAAAGAGACGGAGGGGGTGCGGGATAATAAAGGCCGCCCTGCCGGCCGGCTCCCCTCGATAAAGCCGACGCGGACCGGGCCAGTCCCGTGGGTTTTTATTAAGAATGCGGCCGAGCGTCGGTGAGGTTAGAGCCACCGGGACTCAACCGAGGGAAGTGTGCGCGCACCCGGCGCACCGGACCCCATCCGACGGGGCAAGTCAGGGGGCGGGGTGGAGGAGGGGCGGGGGGGGGGGGGGGGGGAAAGGGGGGGGCAGCAACATGACCCACGTGGAGGGGGTTCGTTCGCCGATCGGGGGGCAAGCACGGCGCCAATCGTCACCCGGTGGCGGAAACTCCCTGTTCCCCGCCCGAGAGGGGGCCCGACACGGCCGCGTCGCGTCGGCTGACAAACTCGGACACCGGGCCCCGCGCGATCGGGGCCCCCTCGGGGTAAGGGAGACAATGGTGAGCACTTCGATCGGCTACAAACATGAAAGCCCCCCAAACCGACACATTCGGAGTGGCCGCCGAGAAGCCAGGAAATCCATCGTCGGCTATGCTTTATTGGGTTTCGGGCGGCCCGTGGCTCTCAGAAGAACTGCCAAGCAAGGGGGCTCCGACACGCACCTCACACAAAAGGAGCGAGGAAATGCTCGGAGCAGGCAGCACGGGGAGGACATTGCTCGCGGGGCTACCCGGCCGTGAGAGATTCTCAGGAGGCCCGGGGCGTCGGCCTCGCACAACAGCGGATGGAGACAACCGGTGGCAGCTGGAGGCCGGTTGGGGATCACGCGACCGTTAGCGCATGGTGATGGCGCCCCACTCCGGAACGCGATGTTCGCCACGCCAGATTCCATCTGCCCGCCCGAGGAAAACCAACACGCGGCAAACAACAACCAACCCCACAAGTAGGTATGCCCTCGGTGTGAGACGTGTCCCGGCGCACCGGCCCCGCGACCGGGAGAGTCGCCCGCTGCTGGGGCGGCAGGGCGGCCGGTCTCGCCGTGGCCCGGTCCTTCGTGATCAGTGACTTGGCTGCCATAACCCATAACGGTGCACCTCCGCCCCACTTCCGGCCCGGCTGGGTGTTCAACGGCGCGCCCAGGGCCGATCGTGGCTCGCTGCGGTCGGTGTGCATCCGGGCTCTGGGCAATGGGCCACATGCCGAGTGAACCCAAGTATGTGGCTCGGCCTCTTTGCCCGCCGCACCGGGCCCGGCACGTCGTCGCCGAGGAGCTCGAAGGCGAGGCATGCGGGGGCTGGCAAGGGCGGGCCAGGAGACCGGGACCAATGAAGGTCCCCGCAGGCGGTCAGCGTGTCCCGTTGGTGCGCACTGACACGCCCGAGTGGGCGGTGGGGGGGAGGGCCTTCTCTCGGCCGCTGAGCGGCCCGTGTTCACATGAAGGGGCGCCCTGCAGCATGCAGCCGCCGATGCTGCAGCGGAACCCCATCCCAAGGGGGTGGAAACATCGGAGACACGCCGCAGCGCTTCTCGCGCAACGTGTGCGTGCCTGTACCCGCACCATGCGGGCGCACCGTGCCCCATATCGGCGGCAGCATGTGCGTGGTTCTTTCCATGCTCACCCTACGCCGGGAGGAGGGGCACTTGTTCAACACAGATGGTGCACGCTCCCCGCCACCAAAGGGCGGAAGGGTTCCGGGACGCAGCCACGCCCTCGACAGCGCTGCCTGCCTCGGAATTCGTGGGCGCACATGTGGCAGAGGATGCTCCCATCGAGATGGTATGTAGGCCCAGCAGGATGTCGGCCCGCCGCGGCCCCGCGACATGCATCCTCTTTGGCCATGGGGCAAGAAGGGGACTTTCCAGTCTCGGCTATGGTACGCCGAGAGGGCCCAGCAAAGGGGGGGGGGGAGATTTGACAAAGAATGCCGAGGGGGAGAAGAAGTGCACACCCGCGCCGGTCCTTGAAAGTGGACCGTGCGAGTCACCCCGCCATGGCCACTCGAGCGCGATGGACATCGCCCGGCGGGGAGACTTTCCCTCCTGCCCGAGGGTCAGCATGCGCTCCAGGCAGGCCAGGACCTCCAACATGTCGCAGGGCATCGTGAGGTCATGCATCCCAGGCAGAGGGCTCACCTGGGTGTGGGGTCGGTCCGCTGTTCTGGCTTTTCCATGAGCCTTGTCAGATAGGTACGCCACCTTCTTTCGCATTTCGAATCAGCCATTCCGTCGGAACACATGTTCTCCAGCCGGGAGACCCCCTCACCTCTCCCCCGACCGGATGCCCAACGACGACCGGACGACCGCTCCATTGGCATTCGGGTTGAGTTGTGCTGCGAGATCGCTCCCAGGGGCCCCCATGACGATGGGTCCGGCATGTCTGTGCATGCACCTAGGCAATGGCTCGGTCAGCCCCGGGGCAGGCGCAGTCACTTCAATGAAAACCCGGCAACAGCCAGCAGGGGCGATCATCGCCGAGGTACCAAGCCGGCCGGGCCGCGTCCCCCAGGGGCTAGAGCCGGGCCTGCCTCCGAGGCACCATCAGCGGTCAGTCGCTTAAGCATGGACACTGGCAGGCCCGCGTGGACAAGATCATTGAGCAGAGAGGCGTCTTGATTGGCCGGTGCCACTGCCCGGGCTCCAGGCCGGGGGGAGGACTGGCCCGGCAGGCATCAGTCCGGCACCCGAAAAAGACGCCAGGCCCCGGGGGCAGGATCAACGCCGGCTCGACAGACGGCAGGCATGTGTGTGGAGCTCCCCGGCATCGGGGACAATCTCCGCCTCCCGGGGGGGAAGGTACCAGGCTGCCAGACCCCCTTTCCCCAGGCCCCCACCATCAGCGCCTGGCGAAGGGGCGTCCGACAAAAGGCTGTTCGGCGAAGAGACTCCCAAGCGTGGGAAATTAGTCTAGTGGTATGATTCTCGCTTAGGGTGCGAGAGGTCCCGGGTTCGATTCCCGGATTTCCCCGGTTCTTTTTGCTCACGAAAGCAGCAACGAGCAGGCCAGCGCGCCCGACGAGAGAGAATCGGCCCCCACCCTCTCCGGTGGAGGGGAGAGAATACGGTGCGTGAGCGCACCCCATCGATGCACCGCGTAGTAGGCCGCACTGTTGAGCCGCAGGCCCCTGTTGCCCGGATATCCAGGGGGTGGCATCCTGCCGGCTGCCCCTCCCTGTACCCCCCCTCTGTCCACAAATCGAAACATGCTTCCCCTTTTTCGCCTGGCGTGAGAGGGCCCACGCCGGGCCTGGGGCTCGGCGGCGTCCGGCGCGCAGCCACGCACACACACACACACACACACACACCCACACCCGGCACGGAACGCGGCTGGCCGTGCTGGGTTTGGAAAGCAGCACGGAAAAACAAGAATAGTGCATATTTTTTAAAGTGGACCGGGATATCCCCCGGGGAGGACACACCCGCCCAGCACCAAAGAGCGACGCCAGACGGGGCTAAATAAGAGGAATGGTGAAACGCCGTGCAAAAGTAAAGTTGACCACGATGCGGCTCGAACACACAACCTCCTGATCCGTAGTCAGGTGCTCTATCCAATTGAGCTACGCGGCCATGGAGGAGGCACATCTGTACGGCTATTTAGCCCAGAAAAATGAGCGAGCGGGCGTCTCGACTCCATCCGCGCTCTCCCGCTCAGCCTTCGAATGGGCCGCATATTGTCCGACCCTCGCAGAGTGCCGTGACCCGGGAGGCGCCCCTTCGGGCGGGCTCAGCGTGCCGTATTCATGCCCGGCGTGAAACATGTAAACCCGCGTTCCGAGATGATTGGCGTGTGGGAGCCCCTTCGTTCGGGCGCAGCCCGGAGGAGGAGCTGACCCCGACTGACCAGTGACCGGGACTTTCCTGTCGCCATTCCCGGCCTCATCACCGACGCCGGCCTCTCCCCCGCCGGCCCGCCCGCAGAGATGGTCAGCTCCTCGGTGTGGAAGAGACCCCTTCCTGGAATGGCACAGAGTCGGAGGGAGACCCGGCCGGGCCACCGGCTGCCAAGAAAGTACCATGGCAAGAACAACGGCAGCCCGACGGAGCAAAGAGAGAGAGAGAGAGGGAGAGAGACGGAGAGGGAGAGAGAGAGAGAGGGAGGGAGAGAGACGGAGAGGGAGAGAGAGAGAGAGGGAGGGAGAGAGACGGAGAGGGAGAGAGAGGGAGAGAGAGGGAGAGGGAGAGAGAGAGAGAGAGAGAGAGAGAGAGAGAGAGAGAGAGAGAGAGACGGAGAGAGAGCAACCCCACAGTACGAGCCCCGCTACGCGGTCCCCCCACACCGCGGAGGCACACAATCAGGAGCGCGCCCTTCGACGTGCAAGGCGCCGGCTCGCCCATGGGAGCCAGGAAAGGTCTCACGAAGGTGACCCGGCGCGAGTCCAATGTCCATGCTTCTCTTCTGGCCAGGCCGCGGGCTGAGGCCCTTTTGATCGGGCGGCCCCCTGAGATGGATCCCGGAGGCGTGGCCCGCCTCATGCGCGGGAACCAAAAAGGACCAAAAATGCTCCCGATCCGGGAATTGAACCCGGGCCTCCCGCGTGACAGGCGGGGATTCTCACCACTATACTAATCGGGATGGGGGATAAATGACCCAACACCATCTAGGTATTTAGCACACTCCCAAGACTCTGCCGTAATACGTGGCGCTTCCTGCCAGCCACCAGTGCCCCGCAACAGGGGGAAAGGTCCCAGCGGCCGGGAGACTCTTCGGACCGCTTTTCCTCCAAAGACACCGCATATCCGACCGATGCACCTTCCGACCTCCCAGCACAGGCAGTCCCAATCCAGCTGCCTGTCCT